GATCCTCTTCTACCCCTTAATACCTACTCACAAACTAACCACTACACACTAGCCCTCATCTACTCCACACACCTAACCACTACACACTACACCCCACTACCTCTTACCTACTACACACTCCCCCCTTCTATATATAAGAATCAAATATTGTAAATCGTATTCATATATCGATCAAAATACAATCTCTATTCTCTTGTACTTAAATTCTACATGGTATCAGAGCAAGTAAGCTACTAGTATGTTTCTTCACCGCGACGGCAAACTTCGCCTTGGCGCCCCGTTCAACCTATTCCTTACTTTTTCTACACATATCCTTCCATCACTCGCCTAAATCCTCTCTCTGAGGCAATGTAATTCTCTCTTCATAATCTGCACTAACTGTGATCTTTTCCTGGCAAACTCTGCATCCCAACCCAATCTATCTCCCCCAATGCCTCATCTTTCCTTCTTGTTAGGATCCTCGCCTTCGCTTTGGTTGGGCTTCGCCACATCGCTTTGAGCTTCACTGCAGCTTTCAGCTCACTGCAGCTCGGTTTCACAATCAGCAGCTTTTGGCTTGCACTGGTGCCTTGCCGCTGCTGGCCACAGCAGCTAAGCTTTGCCGCACTTTTGTCTTAGCCGAGCCTTCTTTTCCTTTTTCGCCTTTACAGCTTCGGCTTGGCTCCCTCTGTGGCCCCAGGTCACCGACTCAATGATCTTATACTGTCAAATTGATTAAGTGGATAGTATTACACATGCCAAAGAAGTACAGCTGCCCTTCCCTATCCGGAGCACTATAAGGTGAGTCTTACAACATTGCTCATCGTTTAACTTGGTGGATAATGACTGAGCCTGATATTAAGGGTTTGTGCATCTCCGATCAAGCAAGAAGGAAATGCTAGCATGTTTGATTTATTTGAGCCTTGGAGGTTGTGTTCTACAGGACCAGTGCTTTACTCTCTGTCATATAATCTAGCCCTTGAGCTTGATCTTTCCATTCCTTGCTATAGCCTATATGTGTTTGCTGTTCTCTTCACCGATTTCCTTCCCCTAATGTGCCTGTAGGATACAGCTAGATATTTTTGGGTCATTCGGCTATCACTTTCCGCATCTTCTCTCACATTGGCTTGTCCTCTCTCTCCTCCTTTATTCAAAATCCATTATGTTTATTCTATTTTCTCAAACCCTTTCTTATTTCCCCCACTTTCTTTTGATTGCAATATATTGTTATTATTTCTTCTTTATTTTCTTCACATATTTTAATCTTTTCAAATTTCATTCATACCATATAGCTTTGCACACCAATCCATCTTTTTATCCAGGTGATCAACCCGATACAATTTACCAAAAAAAAAAACAAAAAAACACCCAACAACACAAACAACACCACTAAATTGTCCTTTTCTTCTCAGACGGCCACCCACGACCTCAACTTTCGCCTATTCGCTCGGTCTTCTTCTCTCCGTCCTGGCGCCTTTGACGGTGTTGCTCCGTGTTTCCATCCACGGCGATCACTCACCCGCTCCTCCACTACACAAGCGGACCCCAAATCGGAACATAAACGTGCCTTCCGCTTCACTCCTATTGTTTTCCCGCTTTTGCAACACTAGCTCGCTGCGCATTCTTATACATCTGCGTTGGAGCAAGAGCCATTCGCGTTTAACCTGCTGCACCTCATTGTCCCTACTTTACTGCAGCCGGTGCGACAAGTTGTGACCTGAGTCATGTTTCACAGATTTCAATGTGATACTGATTAGCCATATCCGTTTTCTCTGCCATTTTTTGCTCACCGACCGCATCGTGAAGGTTCATCGATCAAAACCAGAGGTGTTTGTGAGGTTCATCTAGCACCGCACCATTATTCTTCTTGACTCGTTGAGAGTCGGAAAGAAGGAGCATACCACGGAAGAAAGGCTATGTTCCTGGGTGCGAACGGGAAGAAGAACCATGTTTTGGGTTGCTGATGTTTTTAAGAGAAGGGGTTACATGAAGTTACATTAGAACAAGAGGTTTCATATCTGGTTGTTATGGTGTCCTTTCAACCTCAAGACTTCGTTTGGTTTAATAATGACAGAGACGACAGGTCCGACAGCCGCTCTGTCAATCACTGTCATTCCGCCGCAATGTCAGCCTCCCTTTGAAGGCTCGACCGCGTTCTGGTCGGCACGTTTTTGATGAAGTGGGTGCGCATTGATGCACCCTTTGATGGCACGCTTTTAAAGATGGCACGCCTTTAGGACGCTTTTGAAAATGGCACACCTTGAAAGATTGGGCACATTGAGCCTTTTGAAGATTGGCACACTCTTTTGAGGTGCGACTTTTTAAGGTCCGACAAACTCCTGTAAACTGTCCCCGACATGATCCGATAGCTCCTTCAGGTCCGACAAGGCCGTAAACTGTCCTGACATGATTCCGTATTCTACAAGGGTCCAGCAAACCCCGTAAACTGTCACACAATTACACATACTATTGTTCTGCTACATACGGTCCGAACATGACCCCATAACCCTGTCTTCTACATCGTCGACACCTGCATTCCAGTGTCCCGTACAGACGTTTATGACACCCACTAGTCATGTCTTCACATGGTCTTGACACGACCATTACAAGTTCTCTATCCGTTATTTTTATGTATTTCTTTGGTTTGTACTCCTCCAAAACTCAAGTTGGTTGTTCCTATCCCTTGATTTAACGGGGGCGTTAAAATCCACCTACTCTCACCTACTTCAACCCACTAAACCTACTCCACTAAACCTAACCCACTATCACCACTACACGACCTTCCTATCTCCGACTAAACCAACCCACTAACACACTTACGACCCTCCACTCACCACTCCTTACCCTACTACACCACTTCACCTCTTCATAAAGGAATCAATCATTGTAAAGATATCAATAAAATCACTCAATAAATCAATTCTCTATTCTCTATGTACATTAAATTTCTACCTATAAGTTGAACAACTTTAAAGAGGTAACTAGTTAGTAAATTAATTTACTATTGATGATGTTTTGTGAAAGTATGCATAGATCTATCTGATATCTATCACAACCTTGAAAGGCAATAACAACAAACAGTGTTGATTAGCTATGCAATAGTTGGAACAAGAATTTGTTTTATACATGCGGTCTCTCCTTCCTTCATTTTTTAATTTCTTCAAAGTTGAAATTGCACTTCAAGGTCCTTGATAATCCTAGATAGAATGAAAAAGCTCATTTTTTTTTCTTTAATCTACATTATATCTCCAGATTAAATAACAAAATGTTGTCGGATCCAATTTTGAATTAGCTTAACTCTAATTCGCTAATAATACACTTCGTCAACTTTTCATAATGGTCTCATAGTTAAAAGGATGAAATCATAATTAAAAAACAGCTGCTGAGAAGAATCACCTCTGATCTCATTCCTCTTTTCTTTTTTCCTTTTCTTTTTTGGTCAACCAAAGTAATTTATGCAACACTATATGAAGTCAAAAACCAGCCTAAATCAGTCTTATACATGCATATCAACATAGAAATCTACATTCAATAGATACGAGCAACACCTGGCTTACTTCATGATCATAGCATCTATGATAGCACGATACTCAAATAGGGTGGAGAGTAGGTGGATTTTAACAATTTATTCTAATCTGTAGATGAAGTTATCAACTGCTACATTGGAAGAAAATTATGTTGGTGAATTTCTGATTGTGGCATTTACATATTGATCACAGACCTACTTAACTTAACATGGGGTTTAACTTCTATCACCATCTTATCTTTTCCATTCACATGTTAGCTTTGGCATTAGTTAGGTAATAAATTAGGATGAAAATTTTGCTTATTACACGACAATTCCCACTGTGAATTGCTACATACCCATAAAAATTATGACAGAAGGTAATTTCTCTCAAAAATAAAAATAAAAATAAAAATTAAGGACTTAAAAATAAAAGCTAAAATATATTGAACTAGAATTGGAATTGTAGAGAAACCTTGCCCCTTTCAACTAGCATTAAATAAGTACTTTCATGTTTTATTCATCATTAGTAATGTAATGTTCCTTTTTTTGATATGTTGTAATGTAATGTTCCTATTCGTTAGTTTTGTCATGTTTTAATTTTATAAGCTTATGTATGCTTATGTTCAAATCAATTCCAGGTGAACGGAATTGAAGGCAATGCTGTTTGGGAGGTTCTTGTCATTGCAGGTATAAATTCTATGCACAGGACTGGTGTTGACACAGAGGTGGTGGTAGATGATTGTCATATATTCACTTGATATTTTCTCAACTCTTGCTGTGTGATCTTGCAGCACACGGCTCTTGGTTTTAACTTCATCTAGTTTTTCAATAAAATTTTCTTTTGGTGACAAAAAAATGAATGATATCAGGGATTCATTATTTCCCGTTGCTTACATTGCTTTAATTGGCTTCATACAATGCTTTTAATCCCTTTTTGAAACTTATGAAACCATTATGAAAAATTTGAGAGAAGTTTACACATTGATTAGTTAGAGTTAAAAAAAATTCAAATTCGGGCATTTCGCTTATTAATCTGCAGATTTACTTATGTTAGATAAAAAATAAGAAAAAAGACAGAACAAGGAAGAGAAGCTAAATTTCTAATCTAGGAATTATTGAATGAAGCCTTGAAATGCAACTCTATTTGAAGAAACTACAATAAGAAAGGAAGCAACGAGCCTCAGTTGTATAAAAATTCTTCATAAGACACCCATACCCAATTTAAACACTGGGATCTTTTAATTTTATATGATGGGTAAAGAAAAGACGCTCACTCTTGTTAGAATTGGAGAGGAAACTTGCCCTTATTGAGTGGTATTGAATAAGTACTAACACATTAGTATTGTCATGTTTTTATTCACAAGTAGTACTGTCATATTCCTATTCATTAGTAGTGTCATGTTTGAATTTTATATGTTCATGTTATGCCAAAATCAACTCCAGAAGAAAATTTGAAAAGCGAGATATGGTTTGATTGCTTAAATCAAGTAAGAGTTCAAAGAGTTTGTAATCAAGAATTCATTTCTATAAGTTGCATATCAAATTTGTTAAATCAGTGCAGCTGTATACTATGATTTTAATCCTTTTTATTAGTTAATTTATTTATTTTTTAACTTAGGAGTTCATGTTCAAAATCCAGATTGGGGAATTTCATTTACCAAACAGCTAATTTGTTGCAGGATGATGATATTGTCTCAGTGCTTCCTTCTATGCTGCTTCTTCAACCTTGATGGCAGAGGCAAAGAGCTTGTCTGGAAGCTCTTTGATGGTTCAAGCATATATCAATGGATATCTGTGTGGTGTTCACTTGTTGACACATATAGTTCTAATTAATTTGGTGAAGTTACTTTGGCTGGAGACTTATGTGGACTTTAATTTGTTTGGTTTATTGGAAGACATTAAAACTATATGTAATTTGTTTGCTTGTTTAAGTTTTTATTTTGTTGTTACTAAAGCTACTTGGTATGCTGTTTGTGGAGCTTATGTTCTACCTAATAAGTCTGATTTCAATAAGATCAGTTAGTTGTCATGTACTTGTTTAGTTTTATATATTTATGGGTAAAATTATATTTGTGGTCTTTATAATTTGCTTTTGGAATCAATTTGGTCCATGTAATTTCAACTCTATCAATTTTGCCTTTTAGTTTTCATGTGGTGTCACTTTAGTGCAATTGAACTCCTTAACAAATTTGGCAGAAATGGAGAGCATACAAATGGTC